GTAAAATTGAACATATTTGTAGTTCTGTGGCGAACGTTTCAGCTCAATTGATCTTAAGAGAACAAAGATACAACTTGTCAAAGTTGACCATTTTGTATGGAAATCGGTATGCGCTGCTATTATATCGAATACAACTGTACATATTAAGTGATTTTCCGCTACACAGCATCAAATAAATTTTAATATTAGACCAAGAGGATGCACTTCAATCATCTCATGTAATTTTTATGGCCTCAAAAATAAACAAATGCAGTAAAAGCAGCGTAATGTTAGTTCATGCACTTCATTAATGACAATGCATTTATCACCATGTGTTTGGATTTTTTTTAATTTCTGTGCCTTTCATAATAATTTCCATCTTTTGAATTGGTTATGCTGGTAATTTTGTGGAGCATTAACATTTAAGCCGAAAAAAATCTTTAACACGGTAAGACATATAAATTGCACCACCCTGTTTGAAAAGCACCTTGCCTCTTACTTACTTACTAGCTTAAGGGTCCTGTGCTGCACCAGCGGTGCAAAGGGCCAACGTGAAAGACTTCCATCCTGGGCGGCTGGTCACTTTTGCCTTGACCTGGGCCCAGGTCAGATTCCTATCGACTTGCTTAATTTCCTTATTGAGGTTCCGCCACCATGAGCCCCTGGGTCTGCCTCTGCTGCGATGTCCTGCCGGATTCCAATCCAGCGCTTGCTTGCAGATTTTGTTTCCGCCCCGTCGAAGTGTGTGGCCGACCCACCTCCACTTTCGCTCTCGAATTTCTGTTGCTATCGGCTTCTGATGACATCGACGATGGAGCTTGGCATTCGAGATCCAGTTGTGAGGCCACCAGGCACGAATTATATACCGCAGGCATCGGTTGATGAAGACCTGCAGCTTTTGAGTGTTCTCCGCTGATACACACCACGTCTTGCTGGCGTATAACAACACAGATTTCACGTTCGAGTTGAAAATTCGGATTTTGGTGCGTTGACTTATCTGGTTGGATCTCCATACGTTTCGTAAACTCGCAAAGGCAACCCTAGCCTTCTTGATTCGTGCACCTATGTCGCTCTTGGTCCCGCAGTCCGACGCTATTTGGCTGCCAAGATATTGGAAACTTTCGACCTTCTACACTGCTTGCCCCGCTACCGTAAAGTTGGAAGGGTTGCCCGTGTTGATATCCAACGATTTGGTCTTGTTGACGTTGATGGTGAGACCCGCCTCAGAGGAGCGTTCGGCTAGGTCATTGAGCTTACTCTGCATATCAGAGCGCCGTTGTGCTAGTAGAGCAACATCATCAGCCAAATCGAAGTCGTTGAGATGCTCCATGGTGATATGCTGCCAAAGCAGCCCACGGTTCGGTACACGGTCAATTGCACCTACTATGATTTTGTCGATTACGATGAGAAACAGTAGCGGTGATAGTATACATCCTTGTCTCACACCAGCGACTACCCGGATAGGGTCGGACAAGGCTCCGTTATGCAGAACTCTGCACGTGAAAGCCTCATACTGCGCTTCGATGAGGTTGACGATTTTATCCGGGACTCCCTTGCGTCTCAGGGCGCCCCACAGATTCTCGTGATTGAGACGGTCGAAAGCTTTTTCGTAGTCAATGAATACCAAATAAAGAGACTCTTGGAATTCATTGACGTGTTCCAGGATGATGCGGAGCGTGACAATATGGTCCACACAAGATTTTCCGGCACGGAATTCTGCCTGCTGCCGTTGGAGAGTCACGTCGATCTTCTCCTGTATCCGATTCAGGATAACTTTGCACAGAACTTTGAGAACAATACACAGTAACATGATGCCTCGCCAATTGTCGCACACAGTCAGATCCCCCTTCTTTGGGACCTTCACTAAGATGCCCTGCAACATTTGTGCGGATAGCATGGGGTCAACTTTGAGCATCTCTGCTGACATGCGATCGACCCTCGGGGCTTTGTTGGACTTCATACTTCGGATAGCTGCTTCTATCTCCTGCAATGATGGAGCTTCAGTGTTGACGCGAGTAACGCGCCTCATACTTGGTGGATCATGCCGAGATGTCGAAACTTGAAGAAGTTGTTCGAAGTGCTCAAACCAGCGTTTCAGCTGGTCAGTACTTAGCAATTGTCCAGTCGTGTCCTTCACTGGCATCCTCGGGTTCATCCTTGCTTCACTCAGGCGTCGTGAGATATCGTAGAGGAGGCGTATATCGCCAGTGTTTGCGGCTTTCTCCCCTTCGTCGGCCAGGGAGTTCACCCACGCTCGCTTGTCCAGTCTGCAAGAGCGCTTGACTTCCTTCTCTAGAGCCGAGTACCGTTGACGGGCTTCGTTCTTGGCTCCTCTGGTTCTCGCCCGCTCTATAGTGGCTTTTGCTTCTCTCCGCTCCTCAATCTTCCACCAGCTTTCATCTGTGATCCACTCTTTCCTCTGGGTGCGCAGCTCATCCAAGTTGTTCTCGCTTGTTTCTATAAAGGCATTCTTAATGGCCGTCCATTGTTCTTCTACGCTGCCACCTTCTGGAACGTCCGCAGCTCGAGTCTCAAGTTCTTCAACAAAAGACCTTTTTACCGCTGGATCTTCAAGTCGCCGTATGTTGAACCACCGCCCGAGTCTCTCCTCCCGTCGCTGGATCCGCACCATGCGTAGGTGGATTTCACAGATTAGAAGGTGATGGTCAGACGCGATGTCGGCACTGCGTTTATTCCGGACATCAAGAAGGCTCCATCTCCATTTTCGGCTGATGCAGATGTGGTCGATCTGATTTTCGGTATGTCCATCAAGGGAAACCCACGTGACTTTGTGCACTGGCCGATGAGGGAAGAGCGAGCCCCCGATCACCATGTTGTTATTGCCACAAAATTCTGCAAACAGCTCACCGTTCGCGCTCATTTCGCCGAGACCATGGCGTCCCATCCCAAGTAGCATTTCTTGTTTTATTGCACTCTATTAGTGGTTATTGAGATCAATTTCATAAAACCGCCAATAAAATTAATAGCTCCAGCACAACCTTTTGATAACCGCTATAAGATCGTCTTACAGCTTAGTGGACCACTCTTGATAAGGTTTATAAAGCATGTTTGAGAATCACAATAAAGCTGTCTTAAAGCCTTTTGTCAGGAAGCCTCATACTCTACAAAAGGTTCTCATAGCCTCTATAAGAGTAATATTGTATCCAAGCAGTTTTATTACGCTTTTGTGAAAATCAGTTATAAAGCCAATTTAGTTTGTATTGGCTTCAAAGCAACCGCCATAAATTAGCTTGTTGTTGTTCTGTTCTGTTGAAACTTTTTTTCCAAATGGAAATCTTTAGCGGTAAAAATAGGTTTGAATGTTGGTGTCAAGATCACCATGCAATCAATTTTGTTTCATGGCGACATTAGTGAAAATCTTAGAGAAAATATACGACTTTTTTGAAGTTCCAAAACATATGTGTGGCGACCCCTCGGTCGGCGCGCCTCACCACCTGGGTTAGATCAACCGTGCATTCACATCGAAATGATTTTTATCACCAGCTCGCGGTTGATGACAACTGTCAAGTTGCTGACAACGAACGGGAGCAGTGTGGCGTGCGTTTTTGAGGTCATTTTGGTCAAGTGCAAATTTATTACCCTACAATCTCTTACAAACTACAATTATTAAAAGCTAAAATAATAGTGAACTGTAATCTGAATTAAATTTACTTATACTCTAATATCGACAGTTAAGTGTAACGCTACGGTAAACAGTAAATTATAACATAACATTGAGTTGAAAACTTACAGTTAAAATCTCTTAAAGCTAACCTTAAAACTAGAGTAAAAATCTCTTTGTGGAACCATACATCGTGGAAATCGAACTGGGCTGCCGTATACGGTAATAGAAATATGAAACCAGAAAAGATAGATTATTAATATAATGAATTACAGCAAAAACACATATAGAGGACAGGAAAATAGGAACAAAGGTCGTTTTACCAACAATTGAAAACACTAAACGTAAGTAGCCACTGTGTACAATGTTTGAAAATTGCCTAATTAGCTACACTATTGTAGGATTTTTTTAATACACGCTAGTTATTAAAAAACCGGAATATTATTTCAATTCCCGTTGGCCGAGCGCCAACATCTTAAAAAAATCGTTTATCCCCGTCCGGATAACGATGTCGAAGCGGAGTGAATCGGAAGCGACTAGTACCAGTTCCGATGCGGCAATGCCGGAAACCTGCAAGGCGTGCAACGGAACGGATGACTCCCGAATGGTCCAGTGCGACAAGTGTGACGACTGGTACCACTTCGACTGTGTGGGGGTGAATCAGGACGTCGAGAATCAAGATTGGCTCTGCTCGGTCTGCCAAGAGAAGCAGCAAGCCAAGAACAAGGAATCGACGGAACCTATTCCTCCTCCGGTGCCACCCGTAAGTACATGCGTCACCTGCCCGGTGAGTACTACCAGCATGATTCCGTTGAACTCCTCATCCGATGTAATGACGAGCACATCCGTCACATCATCCGTGATTTTTCCGCCAAATACACTATGTCCTCCATTCATGCAAAATGTGCCAATGCCATTCCACTCACTAATGCCACCCCACTCGCTCATGCCACCCCAGTCGTATATGTCGCCTTATTATTTGATGCCACCCAATCAGTCAATGCAAATTAATTGCCCTATGTCAATGCCACCAATATCGTCGTATCGTCTGTCAAGTTCGTACGCTTCGTTTTCGGGAGTGAACAACGGGTCATGTTATACAGTGCCATCAAGTTTCGCTCAGCCTATTCCGTCAGTGCCCAGCACCGTGCCACCAACGCCCAGTCATGTTGTACCAACGACCGTCCCAAGGGAAAGACTTCGAAAACAGCTACCGGAGCCACTGCATCCAGAGAATCCTCTGAAAACCAAGCAACAAATTTTGGAGGATAACACGAGCCAGTATTCCGAAGCAAGTTCCAGAAGGTCCACCAAGCAGAGACAGTTGAAGTTGGAGTTGCAAATTCTGGACGAAGATAGGAAAGTACAGGAAGCAGAAGAAGCACACCGACGCGAATACATGCGCAAACGACACGAGCTGTTGAAGGAGATGATCAACGAGAATGGTTCGATGACCGATGGGGAGAAAGAGCGATCGGACAATAGGATAGCTGAGTGGCTTAATGGATCTTCTGACGCAGATATCTGTTCACAGAAGTCACACGATATCAGCAGATTTGGCGATCCAGAACCGATCCCAGCAAGAATTCGCCCTAACCAAGGTCCCAATCCACTACCAGTAGATCACCCAAGCGTGACTACAGGAAGCAGACATCCACGTTTTGACCAGCAGCCAGGCAATTTCATTCCGATTCTACGTTCTACTCCAAGACAGATGCCATCGGACGATGACAACAACTTGACACGTAATCAAGTCGCCGCTCGCCAAGCCGTTTCGCGAGAACTCCCCCAATTCAGCGGAACTCCGGAAGAATGGCCGTTGTTTTACTCAACGTTTACAACAACGACCACCATGTGTGGTTATACGCAAGAGGAGAATCTGATACGCCTGCAGAAGTGTCTAAAAGGGAAGGCGTACGAAGCGGTTAAGTGTAGATTGATGCATCCTGCCAACGTTATGGGAATTATATCTACTCTGAAGATGCTGTACGGAAATCCAGAGATTATCGTGCAGAATATGGTGACCAAGATCCATGCTACTCCAGCTCCGAAAGCGGATAGGTTGGATACACTCATCGAGTTTTCGCTGGCTGTGCAGAACCTGTGTGCTACGATCGACGCATGCCAATTGGAGGAGTATTCGTACAACGTTGCCCTGTTGCATGAACTTGTGGATAAGCTTCCTCCAGGGTTCAAAGTGGAATGGGCTAAACATCGTCGAACTATACCACGGGTGAATCTCGAGGCATTTTCGAAGTGGCTGTACGAGTTAGCGGAAGTAGTGTGCCCGATCGCAAATTTACAAATCAGCGAGTCAAAACCATTGCGTGGTAACAAGAAACCTCCTGCCTTCCTCAACGCGCACAGTGGAGAGACGTCATACAAGCTGGAAGACAAACTGCATCATCAAGTGAAGAGTGGCCCAGCCGGCTCCGACTCCAAGACGTGTGTGGTATGCAAGGGCAGCTGTCCAAATCTGGATAAGTGTCACCGTTTCAGTGAATTGGGGTACAACGCCAGGTGGGCTGCGGTGAAGGAGTTCGGGTTATGCCGGAAGTGCCTCCGGAAACACAACGGTACGTGTAAATCCAAGCAAGTTTGCGGGAAGAATGGGTGTACATTTAAACACCATCAACTTCTCCACAACAACCAACGTGATGGAGCTGCCACCAACGTTTCCAGAGCTTCGGGCGAGAACTCCGCTACAATTGCGCAAAACACTTCCGTTCGTGAATGCAATGCTCATCACAAATCCACAAACAAAGGACTTTTCCGAGTAGCGCCGGTTATCATCCATGGACCGGGTAAGTCCATCAAGACCTTTGCGTTCCTGGACGATGGGTCGTCACTCACACTTGTGGATTCATCGATAGTGCAGGAGTTGAAGCTACAAGGAAAATCGGAACCGTTATGCCTCAAGTGGACTGGCAACAAGAGGCGAATGGAGAGTGATTCAGTAAAGTTGGACCTTGAGATTTCCGGAACAGGAGAGATACAGAAGAAATATCGCCTCGCAGGAGCTCATACTGTTGCTAGTCTGGATCTGTTCCATCAATCCGTAGATATGCGAAAGCTGAGTGAACAATATTCTCATCTGAAGGGTATTCCGATCGAGTCTTATAAAAATATTCAACCACGAATCTTGATCGGAATCGATAACGCCAACCTCACATTTCCACTCAAGGGAAGGGAAGGAAAGATGTACGAACCAATCGCAACGAAAACGCGTCTTGGATGGATCGTCCACGGAGGTGCGGATACCGGAGAAGCTCTAGTGGGGCACCACAGCCACAGCGTCCAGACTTGCCCATGCAGCGAGCGGTCCGATGAAATGTTGCGGCAAGCTGTACGTGACTACTTCTCTCTGGATGGGCTTGGGATCTACAAGTCGGAAAAGCTTCTCATCTCTAACGCAGAACAGCGCGCGCAGCGAATACTGGAGTCAGCCACCCAGAAGGAAAGCGGTCGATACGAAGTTAGCCTTCTATGGAAGTTCGACGACATCAAGTTACCCAACAGCAAACCGGCAGCTTTACGGCGTTTCCATTGCTTGGAGGCTAGAATGAAGAAGCAGCCGGATCTAGCGGAAGTATTGCGAGAGAAGATCGAAGATTACCGACTGAAAGGGTACATCAGGAAACTTTCTGACGAGGAGTTGCAAACTTCACAAGAGCGGGTGTGGTATCTGCCGTTGTTCCCGGTGTTCAACCCAAACAAACCCGGAAAGGTGAGAATCGTGTGGGATGCAGCAGCTAAAACCAACGGTGTTTCGCTGAACTCAATGCTCCTGACAGGGCCGGACCTTCTCACACCGCTTGACTACGTTCTCTACCGGTTCCGAGAATTCCTAGTGGGGCTCAGTGGTGACATCAGGGAGATGTACTTGCAGGTGTTCATGTGCAAGAAGGATCAGCATTGTCTCAGAGTGCTCTGGTGCGACGACTCGTCTGGTGACCCAAGCATCTACGTGACACAAGTTATGCCGTTCGGTACCTGTTGTTCGCCAAGCTGCGCACAATACGTGAAAAACCTCAACGCCCGCAAGTTTGAACGAGAATATCCTGCAGCCGCTCAAGCGATCACCAAGCAACACTATGTGGACGACATGCTGGTGAGCGTCGAATCAGAACAGGAGGCCATTCAGCTCGCCAGGGATGTAAAATTCGTGCACGCTCAAGCTGGGTTCGATATGCGAAACTGGATTTCCAACTCACCTGCAGTCGTGGAGGCAATGAAGGAAGAGAAGACCAACGAGAAGAGCTTAAATCTCACGATGGAACTGGGAACAGAGAAGGTTTTGGGTATGTGGTGGTGTACGTCTACCGACACGTTCACCTACAAGCTTTCACCAAAGCATGACCGGCAGCTGCTCGAAGGTAAACGCAAACCGACGAAGCGGGAGGTTCTACGGACGTTAATGGCTGTCTTTGATCCGCTAGGACTGATATCGAACGTGCTCATCTACCTGAAGGTTCTCTTCCAAGAAGTTTGGCGAGCTGGCATCGGATGGGATGACGTGATTCCGGAAAGTCTCAACGAAAAATGGGAGAAATGGTTGGAGATTCTACCGAAGGTGCAGGACATCAGCATACCTCGCTGTTACCGTTCCTTGACGGAACTGAGTCCACACACGAACATCCAATTGCACACGTTTGTCGACGCAAGCCTGTCAGGCTACGCAGCGGTCGTTTATCTACGTTTTGAGCAGGGCAGCACTGTGGAATGTGCTATCGTAGGTGCGAAGACTCGGGTGGCTCCCCTCAAGTTTGTGTCCATACCGAGGTTGGAGTTACAGGCCGCGGTCATCGGAGTCAGGTTGGCTGATAGGATTACGAAGTCCTTGTCGTTCAAGGTTCATCAGCGGTTTTTCTGGAGCGACTCGCGTGACGTCCTGTGCTGGATCCGGTCAGATCATCGGCGGTATTCGCAATTCGTTGCATTCCGCATCAGTGAAATTCTGGAAACAACGAACATAGCAGACTGGGGTTACAAGCGGTCGAAGGAAAATGTTGCTGACGATGCTACCAAGTGGCAGGGTATGCCAAACCTCACCGAAGATAGCCGGTGGTTCAAAGGACCCAGTTACTTGTGGGAACGTCAAGACCGCTGGCCATCTAATCCGTACCGTGAAGCTGGCACCGATGAAGAACTCCGTGCAAATCTCTTCTACCATCAGGTGCAACCTCAACCAATCATCAACGTTCGCGAATATTCTTGTTGGGGGCGCCTGTTACGAGTCACAGCTACAATATTTAGAGCCGCACGCAACATGCGCAGCAACGCGAACAACACAGAACGCATCACTGGTCCGCTATCAGCTGAGGAACTGAAGCATGCAACTAACTATCTGCTTCGACTTGCTCAGGCAGAAGCCTTTCCAGACGAGATAAGTGTCCTTAGCGCGGGTGCTGCCAGCAAGGCGTTGCAAACGTCGAGTACGATTTACGTACTGAACCCTTTCATGGATGAGCAGAAGGTACTTCGGATGCATGGCAGGATCAACGCATGCGAGAACGCTTCCATGGACGCTAGGAATCCAATAATTCTCCCGAAAGATCATCATGTCACATGGCTCATAGTAAAGGATCATCATGAGCGGTACCATCATCAAAACCACACTACCGTCGTGAACGAGTTGCGGCAAACATTCCGGATCCCGAAGATCAGGCGGCTATTTCAACGAGTAAGAGCAAGCTGTCAGGAATGCAAAAACCTAAGGGCTGTCCCACGTCCACCTCCTATGGGCGACCTTCCTGAAGCAAGACTGGCGGCATTCACGCGGCCGTTTTCGTTCATTGGCATTGATTATTTCGGTCCTTTGTTGGTGGCAGTAGGGCGTAGAACTGAAAAGCGGTGGGGTGTGCTTATAACATGCATGACTATACGGGCGGTACATATTGAAATTGCACATTCGCTTAGTGCGAATTCGTGCGTAATGGCATTGAGAAACTTTATGGCACGGCGAGGCGTACCGAGAAAGATCTATAGTGATCGAGGCACAAACTTTACGGCAGCAAGCAAGGAACTTGTGGTGGCGAATGAGGATCTTGAGGCGGCGCTCACGGAGATGGACCAGGAGATGTTAATCAAGGAGATAGTCAGTCCCGAGACGGAATGGACATTTCTTCCTCCAGCGTCTCCCCATATGGGAGGAGCCTGGGAAAGGCTAATACAGTCGGTGAAGAAGAATCTCTCAGCGATGAAACCAGGGCGAAATCCAACCGACGAAAGTCTCCGCAATATGCTGATCGAAGTGGAAAATATCATTAATTCCCGTCCGCTTACGTACGTTCCGGTGGAGGATCCAAGTGCTCCTGTATTGACACCCAACCATTTCCTGCTGGGTTCCTCCAGTGGTCTCAAACCATCCACGGTGTTCGACGATAGTGCAGTGGTTCTACGACGGTCATGGTGTGCATCACAGGTAGAGGCGAATATTTTTTGGAGACGATGGGTACGAGACTACCTGCCGGACCTAACCAAGCGAACAAAGTGGTTCAACGAGGTCAAGCCGATTGAAGTGAACGATATTGTGGTAGTAGTCGATTCTGGATTACCACGGAACTGTTGGCCTAAGGGAAGGGTCATCTCAGTCAACAAGGGTAAAGACGCACAGGTGAGGTCAGCGGCGGTTCAGACCCAGACGGGCATCTACGAGCGTCCGGCGACAAAGCTGGCCGTCCTTCAGGTTCGTCGCGATGAGGAGGTAAACCAAGGTCTTGGCGTACCCTGGGGGGAGTGTGGCGACCCCTCGGTCGGCGCGCCTCACCACCTGGGTTAGATCAACCGTGCATTCACATCGAAATGATTTTTATCACCAGCTCGCGGTTGATGACAACTGTCAAGTTGCTGACAACGAACGGGAGCAGTGTGGCGTGCGTTTTTGAGGTCATTTTGGTCAAGTGCAAATTTATTACCCTACAATCTCTTACAAACTACAATTATTAAAAGCTAAAATAATAGTGAACTGTAATCTGAATTAAATTTACTTATACTCTAATATCGACAGTTAAGTGTAACGCTACGGTAAACAGTAAATTATAACATAACATTGAGTTGAAAACTTACAGTTAAAATCTCTTAAAGCTAACCTTAAAACTAGAGTAAAAATCTCTTTGTGGAACCATACATCGTGGAAATCGAACTGGGCTGCCGTATACGGTAATAGAAATATGAAACCAGAAAAGACAGATTATTAATATAATGAATTACAGCAAAAACACATATAGAGGACAGGAAAATAGGAACAAAGGTCGTTTTACCAACAATTGAAAACACTAAACGTAAGTAGCCACTGTGTACAATGTTTGAAAATTGCCTAATTAGCTACACTATTGTAGGATTTTTTTAATACACGCTAGTTATTAAAAAACCGGAATATTATTTCAATTCCCGTTGGCCGAGCGCCAACAATATGCGCTTGAAATTTTATCGTGTATATTGGGATAATATGAGCGTTAAATAAATGCGCCTCCAAAATAATTCAAGTTAACAAAAAAAATTGAAAAATGAATTTGATGATATCACCTTAATTTTACAGAAAATAGATCTCAATACATAATTTCATACCAATGCACACTGGAAATCATTTCGGATCTCTTATTTAGCCATTATTTTATTGAAATTTCTTGGATTTTATTCCAAGGCTAATGGCATTTTCATAATGACAATATGGCGACAGAGGACAGCAGGCAAGAAAAACACCAAGCCCAATTTCTTAAAATGTCTAATGCTTACATTGCACACTGGTTCAGGAATGCAACCTAGCGGAGCAAAATTAATAACTCCGAAACGAAGCATTTCCGCGACTTGGTGTCTTCGGCAAAATTTCTCGTCATAATAAGGACCATCTATTGACATAAACAAATAGTTCAAAACTCTTCCGCAAAGATGGTGTCACAATCTAACTTCTTTCTCTGACGTTTTGGAGACTTGATGTCTTGGGCAAAGTTGTTTATCTTGACAAAATGAACAGCTCTTTCAAAGACGTTAAATTTCCACTGTCTACTGATTCCAAGTTATATGGAGTTGGAGCTAGGACAACTTTTTAAGGAAGGTACAAATCGGTTTTTTCATCTCTCTTTATCAAACTCCCCCTTTGGAGAGAGATGGTGAGGGGTGTCCCCCCCCCCCCGCCACCACTGGTAAAAAGAGATGAAAACCGACCCGGTCAAGTACCAACGGTGTGTTGGAAACAGTTCTACCGGTTACTGTACCTTTCGACCATTGACAGTAACTCTATGCTTTCATCTTCTCCATCTATCGTATAAAAATTACCACTACAGTCTGTTATTTGAAATTAGCATCTTCAACTATGCAAATCGTTGACTTCACGTAGAAGTAATACTAAAACATATAGCAAAAAAAAAAAATTGGATTATGGTAAGGATACGAACCCGCGTTCTAAATCTGGTATTGATTATCCTCTCATTAACAGGCTCCCACTTGATGAGCGCAGCACTTGCCTGGACGCTAAGTAGAAGACCAACTTCACGATGGCGGGAAGCGTTTTCACCTCTAATACCAGAATATAGTAGTACCTGTCGCGACGGCAGTTTGTGTTCTCCAAAGTTTGGCCAACGAACTTCACTCAGTCCCAGGATTTCTAGCTTCATGCGTCTTGCCTCGTTGGCGAATTGTGCCAGTTTACCCTGCTGGGCTAACGTTAATACAATCCATGATCCAATTCGTGTCCGTTGTTTTGCGCTAAAAGTCGTTGCTGTTAAATCAGTTCGATGTCTTTCTCTGTTGGTTTCTGTAACAATTGTAAAGTTTTCAGAGACAGTAGGTGGTTGGCCAAAGGTCTCCTATCCACCATGATGGGGCTGCCATCTTAGGTGTAGCTTCCGGGGAAGAGCATTTCTTATTCATCCACTGGATGCCAGTCAGACGCTGTTTGAGCCGCACCTCCATGGTGAACAAACGCTCGCGTTGGCGAAGCATTTCCTCTATCACCGGACTATGGTTACCGCGCCAGTGTTCGCGTAGGACCTTGCCTCGCATATGACAATTATTTGTTTTGATTTATAACATATCGAACAAAAGTCTAAGTTTTGTTAAAGTTTTAGTGAATTCGATTTTTTTTCCGAATAAGTTTTGCAGCCATGGGTCAATCAAAACAACCTATGCTCGACGATAATTTAAAAATCAAGGCCTATCAAGATCTCTCTAATAGAGAAATTGATTGAAAACCCTTCCGTGTGCAACTAATTTTGTCAAATAGCGAGAACGTGAAGTGGCGTAAAAGACTAGGAAAACCGAACTCAACAGAATGACATAAGTTCAATCGCTGTAATTACGTAAAAATATATTTCCTGGACCGATGAGTGGGATACCGTGCTATTCCAGATGAAATGAAGTTCAACCTTGATCCAGACGGCTGGCAGCACTACTGGCACAATTTGTGCAAAGAACCAGATGTTAAAATGAGCAGGAACTTTGGTGGTGTAACACTGATGGTTTGTGGAGCATTTTCCTTCCCATTTTCCAACAATTCGATAACTTCGAATTCGACAGTTCTGGTAGCCGATTAACCAGGATACCATTGAAAAACTGGTTTTGTCCATGAAATCGCGACTAGTGGAAGTTCTCCGAAACAATGGCTCGTACGAACATTACTTAGTACTCTTTCAAGTATTATTTTGAAAAATTTAAGCTTACTTTGATTAAAAGCTAAGTTGGTGTTATTTTTATTTCACGCACTTTTTTCGTTTTCTAGGGCTGTAATTTAAATGGTCTCAAAATTCAAAATAATTTTACCCTTTTTCAGATCATGTTACAAAAAGTTATTTATATGATGGTTAATTATTCATATGAAGTAATAAAAAAAAAGCGTGATGGTGCTATTCTTGTTTTGCTAAGGAATTTTTTTGCGAAAAAGAAATCTTCGAACTCGGACTTCATGTTGCTTATAGCTGAATTGAGGCCAGGCTAGATAGTTGGACGGCCGTTAATTCTCATGCGTTCAACCAATTTTAGCATCTGTTAAGTGTTAAATAACAAAAAGGTAGTGTAAAGATATGTAAAACATAAAGTTATCAATATAATTAACTATTACATACTGTCCTTATTAACACTCAGAATTAGATCTGTCTTAATACTGATTAAATCTTTGTGAGAAAACTTCTATTTTCGTCCTGACGGTTTACATTTTAACTGCATTGGTCTTCGTGTAACGTTTGAAAAACTAAACTTGGCTAGTTTTTTCTAGCTACCTCCCTAACCTATTGGAAACAATGTGGTCCTTACTTAGATTATGAAGTTTCTGGTTTTTACTACATGGATGACGATGCCCAGGAGAAACCTGCCTCAGATATGCTTTGCAAATTTTAATGAATTTGGTTTTCTGCAGCTTTTTCGTACACATATCTACACACTTTAATTGTGCAACTAGACAGAGGTCACAGCCGAGATGATTTGAACTTCTTGTTAACATCTTTTCTTCTTATACTGGTCACAATGTGACATACGTGTCACAAAACTTTCGGATACCTACTATCATCTTTATTGAATTCCGGTTACAATCTTTCAACGATCGTCGCTACTAAAGTGGCGTGATGACGGATTAGCTTTTCCGAAGTACAACATGCAAACTGTTTTTCTATTTCCATCGTGAGATTTTTTTCATTTTAACATGTTTGCTACACGATACATCTTTAAAAAAAAACACCCGAAACCGGACAAAAAATCAATGCCTATGATTTCGGGGCTAACTGTTCTGCACGTTTCTTTCTCTTTTACTCATATGAGGGAAGAAAAATTAAACAAGTTGTTGATCTAGCATCAAATATTAATTGACTTTGCGCAAAGTCAACGTAATCAATATGAATCATACTTGAAAGTCAAAGAGACCACTTTAATGCCTTTTGGATTAGTTAAATCAACTTTTGAAACTTATTTAACTGCATATGTTCAATCCTTCATGGTTTTGTATCCAAAATAGTTTGCCTTGATAAACGGCTATGTGAACTTCAATACACATTTTCTCAAAAAAAACCTGGGTGAAATATTTTTAAGACTTCTCAGATTTGATTTTTAAGATCAATACAAACTTCCAGTGAAAAAAAAAACTGGTGTACATGAAACATGCATCTCCGTAACAGAAGACTTCCATCTTGGTTGGCTCCGTACGATATCTTCAATGAAGAAGATATAGCATAGCAATGATGATGCTGCTATGCTAAGAGGTGGTAAACTTTTCTTTAGCTCAGGCCTGCCGAACCATTCTAAAGCTTTTTCAAATGGCTGTATCTATGTCCAATGCACGTGTTTCTAGCTGCATTTTGATTATTTCTCATTCATTCTTGGCAAGAAATAAATCTATTCCCTATCGTATACCATCAAGTATTACTTCAATTCGAAATACAACAATTAGGCGTAATCTAACCTAATAACTTTCCAGGATGTTTCTTCGTACATGCTGCATTTGAGTTAGATTAGATTAGATTTGAAAAAAGATATATGAGAAATATCAGTGATCAAATACACCTCGATGAATTTGACCCCGTTATAACATTCAAATGAAATCGAGATTAAGCATCTTTCCGGAAAGTCATTGAATCCATGTCATATAGAATTTCGACTTCACTGCTTTAAAAAATTATCCTACATTATTTTAATCTGAATACTTTTACCCAATTTACAAAGTAAACCGCATTGCATCCCACCGCCAAAGGATAGTTTCTTCAGGGAAACTACGAACTGCATTCCATCCAACCCTCTCATCACACTCGGCAATCATTCTCCCCACAAATGAGCCACCCTTCACAGTGCAGCACCGCGAAGCGCAATATGGCAGCTCAAGTGAGTAGCACAACTCTTGGCGGCCAACAGGAAAATCTCCGAATCGGTTTGTTCTTTTGGTTTTCACCCTCCGTTCGCACTCTCCAGTCAACTTCTTCTCGGGGATATTTATTATTTTCGTATTATTACACAGACACCAGAAGGGGGTTTTCACATTGCGGCCACTAGGGCGCGCCACAATTGTGGGCGTCGTAAACTTGTGTGGCCATATACCTATGTAGCTTTCAAGTCATCGTCTTCGGAAAGACGGTGGTTCAAACCAACACCAAGCCCAGATTGTGACTACGAGAGTTGGTTGGGGACGGTGGTGAGGATTCTCTTCCTTAAACTTGTCATTGCGGAGGGGAGTACGCGGAGACCACTACAGTGACAGCGCTCACCTCTCCTATTTTTATTTTCCACGTATTTTTTTCCAGACGCTTTCCCTACCAATACACCTACAATGGTGTTTTCTCTGACTGACCGTTGAATTTTCCCCTCTTTTGAAAGTGTATTTTCTACTTGTGAGGAACTTTACATTTTTCTCGTTTTCCACGGTTCAAGAGAAAAGTTTAGTGGAA